GTAACATGGGTAAAGCCATACTCACTGAAAAAAATTCATTACAAGGCCACAGCTGTACTGTGGGCCGTTGTTAGACATCAACATCTCTGGATTACCATGATGGCCAATGATGTTCCCAAGGGTTGCTTTGACCGTGATGGCAGAGCGGACATTGAGGTGAGCTGCTTCGTGTAATATGAGTGCCTTCCTTGATCTTCACTTCGCATGCCAGACTAGGCAGACTTTAGTTGCCTCCATCTTGTAATCTACAGTCTGCTCTGATTTTTTTGGCCGTCCAATGTTGAGGTTATGACACACTTCTTCAGGTATTATAAAGCAAATTGAGCGGGTCTACTTATGATAAAATTTTCAGGAAGGCATATTTTGTAAATTTGATAGAAAAGAGCTGGGATGTCAATATACTTGTCTTGTTTTTAATCAACAGATGACATTACCCCTCCTATTGTCCTGGGGTCATAATGACCCGAAATCATATTCAAACCTAAGAAAATGATATAAAACATTAATTTAAGTACATGGCCTCCTATGTAGCTTCCTAAATGACCCGAGATAACTTTTGATGTTGAACTATCTTTATGAGCAGCTCTGTCTAACTCAGAGTGCCACAAACTCATCAAGTATTTCCTCATACTCATAAATACCTGGTACTAGGCCCATTTCAAAGATATTAGCATGCATGCTAGTTTAGCATGCTAGGTTGCTAATAGTAGACAATTTCCATGTTTTTCCATACTGTATTCCAAACTGTATCAAAACCACTGATGCCCCCTGACCTCTAATGAATGACTTGACATTTTACACATGCTCAACTATTAGCAGCAAGAAAAAGATGTGCCTGATAAGAGGGTCTGATAATAAAACCCCAATGATCTGCCAGAGATGCAAGTGACGTATCTGTAAAACACATGCTTACAACTTTTGCCAGTCATGTGTCTGAGATAACACCTCATGATTTTTCTACACACTGTCAACACACTGTATAAGAGAGACTGCATGTAAAAAACTACAAAAAAATAAATAAACCCCCCCCCCAAACTTTACCAAACTACCCCTTTACCCTACCTATCCATATCTACCCCAATACAGAGCGTGCACCTTGTCATGGTGGGGTAGCTTGAGTGCCTCAGTGATCATTTGGGCTATACTGATAGGGGCTGTACCAGTCCCTGTGAGGTCCAACCATATCAGGCAGGCCAAAGGTGAGAGATTAGAGTAAGACCAGCTCTTTTTTGTCTATTATTCATTTGAATTAGTATGTTTGGATTATGTGGATGTTGAAAAGAGCAGTAACTCAAAGATTTTGTAATCAATCTTGAAATCAACTTGTCTTGGTTGAAGCAAAAAAAGAGAAAATTCCAATTCACACGCTTCCTTTAGGCAGTTTAGATGTATTCATGGTAATATTACAGATCCTATATAATATTACAGACCTAGTTTAAATATGTCTGTACATAGTTTCATTGGCATTCATAAGTTTATAGCTTTATGTTCTCTCTCTTACAAAATTTGAACATTCAGATATTATAGTCGGCTACTTCAAAGGGGGGCGCTATAGACTTAATTTATGTTGAGATAGTTTCAATTCATAAATATCAGAATCTATTGAATCTTAAAAGGCTGAGAGTTGTTTTTTGGGGAATTTTATGACAATTTTACAAATTGCAAATTCCAAAACATTTTTCATGCTTTTGCAGTGCATGGGACGTTTGGGGGGCGCTAGAGAGTTAACAAAACAGCTTATGTTGTTTATGACTATTTGGTTGTATTCTACACTTATAGCTGTAACGTTGTGCCAAATTTCACATTTGTCTTCAAAGGTTTAGTTGAGTTATGAGATAAATTGGACCCCGGGTCATAGTGACCCAAAGGTAATAGGTGTTAGTATTTCTTAAGACAATAGGAGGGTTAAAAAAGCAGTGTTATTGTGTGACGCAACAAACAGTGCGTTGGTCTTATACATAGTGATGTGGTGAAGCTGTTTAAAGGATGTGGGCTGGAATCCCACCAGAGTGGTGATATTGTCTGTCAGTGAGTTTAAAAAATGCAAACATTTGCAGAAGGTTAACATGTTTTCTTTCAATGTAGTAAAATGTCAGATTGTAAATATATATGCCACCATTTTCTTTGTTAGATTTTAATATTTCTTGCCCTTGCATATGACTGTGTATGCTTTGAAACCTCTGAAAGCCAAAGAAGAATTTGCATCAACTTCACAGGGAATATTGCTTGAATTGCGTGAGAAAAAATCTAAATGAGACATACAACAGCATGTCTCTGTGGCGCAATCAGGCCTGGCACCATGGGGGGGGCGTAAGGGGGCGTTTCCCCCTCAGTGAAGACTAAGGCCTAATTTGAATTATTAGTTTTTCAAATTTATTTGTATTTTAAAATACTAATACACAGTGGCGGACTGTGCCCTCTCACCGTGGGCCTTCAGTTTCCGAACCATTTACTCTGAGACATTTCGCTGAGAAGCTTGAAATTGTTAACAGGGGGAGACCAAAACCAAAGCTGGGACTCCAGCAAGCAGACAAAGGATTCACAAGGCATTTTAGCTAGGCTAATTATGATTGCTTCCAGTGGCTAACAGCTAGCACAGAGTTAGATATTGGCCATAACTGGAATTCTTGATATGAACTCTGTGCTAGCTGTCCCAGCTGTGTCAAAAATATGGAGAGAGTGACTCCGCGTTCACAACTTTGGGCTTTAGCAACTGGAAACATGCTACAGACAAGGCAAAAGGGTTTAGCAGACATACCAATAGTAAAGAGCATCAAACATGTTAGGCTTTTTGAAAAGAGAGACAGTTGCGATGTTCAACAAGCAATGAAATTTCAACGCTGGTTAATTCCAACCAGCTCTCTCGAAACCACCTCTCCATATCTGTGATTGTAGACGCAATTGAATTCCTGGTCTCAAACGAATTGCCATTGAGGGGATCCATTGATTCAGTTGATAACCGAGATCAAGTGGGAAGTGGACTTTTTCTGTCCTTGATGATTACAATTTGAGACAGAATGAAGAGCTCACGCGGGCTTATAGTACCATTCCAAAAACTGCTACATACACTTCACATGACATACAAAACCACATAATTGAACTGATGAGTATGATCGTAACAGAGGAAATTGTAAAGGATGTCAGGAAGTCATGGTTTACGATTAAGGTGGATGGAGCAAAGGATCCTACTGGCCACGAGAATGTCTCTATTGTAATTCATTATGTGGACCAGAAATGCACAGTGAAAGAGCGACTGCTGTCGATGTTGACCACTGACAAGTGTGATTTGTCACTCATTGATTTAATGCTTGAAGAACTGCTAAATGTTGTTCTCGACACAAGCAAAATACTAAGTCAGTGTTATGATGGGGCCAGTGTGATGTTTGGGAGGGATGCAGGCATGCAGAAACTTATTCAAAATAAGTTAAACAGAGAGATCCCATATATTCATTGTTTTAATCATCAGCTCCACCTAGTGATCGTGCATGTTATTTCATCCGAGAGCGCAGTTGGAGACTTTTGACATCTGCAATTCACTATATAAATTCCTGAGAAAGCCTACTGTAGCTGCACAGTATAAAGGAGAGAAGCTTTAAAGACTGCTGGAACAACGGTGGACTGGACACTTTGACACTGTATCTGTGATTCTGAAATCACACACGACACTTGTGGAGTTTATGACAGACATTGAAACCACAAGAACAAGTGCTGATGTGAAAATTGAGGCTGTTGGACTTTACAAGGCCATAACAGAACCAACTTTCAAATTCCTTGCCTGTGTGATGCACAAAGTTTTGGGGCTGATGGACCCATCAAACAAGATGCTGCAAGCTGAACACACTGACCTCATCACTGCAGTTCAGCTCATTAAAAGTGCTTCTGTTTGCCTTGAAAATTTAAGATCCGACGAAGAATTTGTGAAACTATGGACTGACAGTTTAGGTGATTATCAGGTGCCTGCTCCTCCAAAATGACAGCGCCAGGCACCCAAGGTGCTACAACACTACGCGGTCGATGAGACTATTGGCCAGCAAGGGCAGAACATTGAACGGGAGTACAAAAGACTGTTTTTTGGCATTATCGACTGTTCTGGGAGAGATGGCTGTGCATTTCAGCGAATGCAATCACAAGTACATGGAAGCGCCTTGAGTGTGTTAGACCCTGGCAGTGGGAATTTTTTGGATGCTGGGAAAGTGAAACCATTACTGGTTTCAACCAAGACCGAAATGGATGAGCCGCAGTTCACCATTGCGCGTCAGTTTTTGGAGAGCCGGTGCGCAGGCCAGGGTGGCGAGAAAGTAACTTTAAACCAACGTGTCTCTAGTTACACCATCGTTTTCGATGCCATGCCTGTGGTTCCTACTGTGTTCAAACATGCGCTGACATTTGGGGCCTCAATTGCTATGTGCGAGAACTCTTTCTCCACGTTGAAGAACGTATTTTCTGAGCACAGACGCAGCATGTTGCACAGACGAAAAGCTAATCTGATCAAGCTGGCCTTCGAGAATGACCTGAGCAGAAAATTTAAACGAGAGTGGAAGGATCTTCTGAGGAGATTCAACTCATCAGCAAACTGAAGACTTCAACTGTACTGAATTAAGGTAGGATTGAATTTTTTTTTTCATGTTTTGGAGTGCTAGGTTGGTCGAGGGATACTTATATTTGTTGGGTAGGCCTATTGTGTTAGCCTATTGTTTATGTCACTAATAGTTTGGTTAGTTTTATAATAGCTAGCCTACAGGACAATTAGTGCCTACTACGTTGCAATGCCTGTGCTTAATTCTGTTCTTCAGTAGAGACTGATTCTCAATTTCCAGTTGCATGTGTTTATTAGCAGAGGATTCTCCAGAGTGTTGTATGGGTGACTTGACCTGGTGGTTGTTGCTTTAAGCGCTCACTTGCTTTATGTCGGTAAACGTTGCTGGCTCTGTTGAAATCACAGAGTCACCACCCCCTCTCCGCATTTTAATTGCCCCCTGATTCCTTTTCCACTGGCGCCAGCTCTGGGTGCAATCGGTTAGCGCATTTGGCCGTTAACCGAAAGGTTGGTGGTTTGAGCCCACCCTGGGACATGACAGTTTTACTTGGACACCAATTACTCTCCACCACACTTTGCAGCCATCTGAGACTCGCATTTAGAAAATACACCTGTTCAGGTGTTCCAAATTCACCTTTGAAAAGAAGCTCTGTGGGACTTTGTGCCTCATTGGCAGAAATCACATAGGATATGTCTCAATCATGCTGTCACATACACTGTATAGAATCACTATCTGATGGTGATCAACAGGACGTCTACTTCACATTAAATGGAACACTAACACATCAAAATCAAACTAAACTGCAGCGATCTCACAATCAGGGGCGCCATAAGGGGGGAAGGTTGGGATGATTCCAAGGGTCCCAAGCAGACAGGGACCCCTCAAAGATTCTACCATATATTTTTGTTACATATAGAGGGGTCCGGTGCATTAACCTTTCAGGGGGCCCAAAATTCCTACTGGCGCCCCTGCTCACAATCCAATGTGAAGATGATCTTGAGGCACAATTTTCATCTTTGAAAACCTAAACACTGACTGGTCATTAGAAATGGCAGTACCACTTTTGATTCTGACTCCATCTATATTTTACAGGCACACTTAAAGGGTACTCATGACACAGCCACCATCTCTCTAACTGGCCACACAATATTTGGTGATTGACCTCATATTTTAGAATAATTCATGGCTGCTTTCCTTAGCAGTTTTCAATGAGGAGCACTGAAAGCACTGCCTGTATCATTTCTGCAACACTGTTTGTTGCAAGCAGGGCTGGATTAACAATGGGGCTAAGGGGGGCTTAAGCCCCAGGGCCCACAGGCTGGCAGGGCCCTGGTTGACAGTGGAAGTAACCCTACATCGGTTCGTTAGCCTATAAATTTGCAGCCTGTTCATTGTTCCTGTGTAGGATATTAATAAAGAGACAATGAGATGATTAGACAAAATTGTCTGGCTGTTTTTATTTATGGTGCAATACAATTCCTTCTTTTCAAATTCAGTGATGACGTGTAGTTGTTGCACCTTTTGCGCCTAATTTCAAACACTTGGTATAGCCAGCTGTATTCCGGTTTAGATGTCCAATAAAATGTCCAAAAAAAGCAACAGCGGATACACAAAAAGGAAGTTAAAGGCAGACATAAAAGAGAAGGCGAGCTGAAAGATAAAATACCCAGACTGAAATAGTGTTTTAGCCTCAAAACAGCAGAAGCACCAGTGTCTGTTCAAGCAGGAGAGGCCGGGACAGAGATCTCCTTCCCCCCAGGTAAGTAACCCTTTGGCACGTAACTTATTTTTATACTATGTAGTGCAAGGGTTATGTTACATAGTTCGTTATGTTTCCATTAGCGTTAAGTTTCTCATCGTTTTCGGTTAGCATTTGCTATATTTTTTAACGTTAGATCACCATTTCCTCAAAGCTAAAATTAGCTAGAATTTTTCCAATCTAGTGTTCTAATCATAGCATACACGCTAAACATAGGTTTTAGCATACACGCTAAACAGCTAATCACACCAGTGTGACCATATGCGCGAAAGGGCTAAGAACATACAGTATATCTGCCAGTTAGATGCGCATTTGACTGTAATTATACAAAACTGCCTGGGTTATCGATTAGCACATCTTTATCTCGTCCCACAGCCTCATGATTAGTCCGTGTGAAAATGTAACTTTGCTTCATTTCAGTTAATTAATCACATCATGTATAGTTAGCTGGGCTAGGGCAATATCCGACTGGCATCCAGTCGCTAGTTAGCATTAGGGCATCTAAAATCTAGTTATCTAGCTAGCTTGATGGACAGACAAGTAGCCTAAGAAGTGTTGTTGTTTGAGAGTAATTATTCCTTGTCTGACATAGAAAATGAGGGCCATGGCAGTGAGTTTGAGGAGGCACCAGGAGCATCACCTGCAGTGGTGGGATCATCAGAGAGGGATGGTCACGGCAGTGAGATTGAGGAAGCACCAAAGGCAGCACCAGCAGGATTAAAAAAGGTTTCAGTGGAGAATGGGGATTTCCGTAGCAAAGACCCAAGATGCTGGCCGGCTGTCGTTAATGGGGAAGGCGAAAATTATTGGACTACTAAAGGACCAGTGCCATGCCAGAACAGAAACAGTGAATTTTTGGCATCTGAAAAACAATGTAAACACCAGAAGCGGAGCTTTTCCAAGAGTCTCTTCAACAGGACCCTGGTCAATGGCGAGACGGTGCCACGAGAGTGGCTTCTATATTGTCCTGCGAAGGGGTCAGCGTTTTGTTTCACATGTAAGCTGTTTGGGATGGGCACATATTCATTCTCTGGGAGTGGTGGGTTAAGCAACTGGAAACATGCCAACAGGGCTATTGTAGAGCACGAGCAATCAGAGCATCACAGACAGTGCTTGTTAACATGGTTGTCAAGAACATCTGAAAAGGGTCAGATTGATGTGGATTAAAGAGAACAGTTCAATTCCGAGTGTCAGTATTGGGAGGAAGTTCTAAAAAGAGTTGTCGCCACCGTGAAATTTCTGAGCGTGGTCTGTCCTTTAGGGGAGATACAGAAACGTATGGCTCACCGCGCAATGGAAATTACATGGGTAGTCTTGAAATGATAGCCCAGTTTGATCCCTTCTTGAGGGAACACATTGTCCGTTATGGAAACAGTGGGAGGGGGAAGCCATCCTATTTGTCCAGCACTATATGCGAGGAATTCATTCAGTTGATGGGTGAAAAGGTTTTATCTGAGATTGTCAATAAAGTTAAACTTGCTAAATACTTTTTGATTACTGTAGACTCTACACCAGACTTGGCCCAGGTTGATCAGCTGACATTTATTATACGATACGTGTCTCCAGAGGGTGTAATCGAAGAACGCTTCCTAGAAGTCCTCCCCAATACAAGCCACATGGGGGAATCGCTTTTCAGTGCCGTGATGGGAATGTTGGGGGAACTGGGCATTAATTTACAGAACTGTTGTGGTCAGTGCTACGACAACGCACGCAATACGTCTGGCGTAAACAAGGGTGTACAGTCTCACATCCGTGAGCTAAATCCCCTCGCAGAGTGGGTTCCTTGCGCAGCACATCCTCTAAACTTAGTTGGAGTCAGAACTGTGAATTGCTGTTTGGAAACAGATCAGTTCCTCAAACTTGTACAGTCCCTGTTTAATTTCAGCGCCGCGTCACCATCATGTTGGCAGACCATGATGGCCTTGGACCAAATGAGAATAAGAGAACTGAACATCTTAAATGTCTATCTGATACTCGATGGTCAGCACATGCGTCAGCGACAAAGGCTTTGTCTCTCAACTATGCAAACATCCACCAATCACTAGTGGAATTGTCAAATGACGAAAATCAAAACGTAGCTACCCAAAATGGAGCAAGGGCCCTTGCAAAGAAAATGACCAAATTGGAGATGGCTCTCCTTTGCCAATTCTGGAATTGTGTGCTGCAGAGGTTTGAGACAATAAGTGTCATGTTGCAAGAGGTAGATCTAGATCTCGTTGTAGTGTGTGGACCTATTTTTCTTAGCGCAGTTATACCCCCCTGTGTTCTGTAGCATATCTGATAGGTGGTTGCCTACGTGCTTTTGATAGGGGTGTTCTCTCGCAGTAACCTACTCAAGTAAAGTGTCAGTGCCCAGGCCCCCTAGCTGTGTGTTTGTTTTCTTCCCCTGTCCATGTGCTTTTGTTTTCCTTGTGTTCTAGCCCCGCCCCTGTCCCTGCCTGCCTCATTGCTTCATCACCGCCACCTGCCTGCCAGCTCACCTGTTCCCCATCACCTCGTCTGCTCTGCCCTATTTATGCCCTGCCTGTTCCTGTCTCGTTGCTAGTTCGTAGCAGTGTTGTTCCTGACCTGTTTCGTCCCCGCGTTGTGTTTCCTGACTTGCTTTCTGTGCCTTTCGATCTCGCTTGTGCCCCGACCTGGTTTTTCTGCCTGCCGTTTTTGCCCTGTCTGCTTGTGCATCTGCCTGCCCCGTGCCTGACTCCGCTTCTGCCCGACTCCGCTCCCGGAATTGCCCTCGGACTGTCTCCCGGTTCCTGACTCTGCCTGTTCCTGACTTCGCCCTGGTTTTTCCCACGGACTGCTTACCTGTTGCCGACCCTGCCTGTTCCCGGCTCTCGAACTCTGCCTGCCGATTCAAATAAAGACGCACTTTACCCTGATCGTGCGTGGTCTGCTTTTGGGTCCCTCGTCTGTGCCGTAACGTAAAGAGCCGTATGTTATACGGAAGCTCCGAGTCCGTCTTTAATTTCATTATGTAGTTGTCTAACACAACAAATTGGCAACAAGTACAAACCAAGACGGCTGCACCGACAGTTGAGAGAGATGACAGCAGAGCTTGGAGGAGAGGAGAGAGACAGAAGAGTGAACCTGTACGGCGCGGTCAGCGAGGCTAGTGTGAGTGACGATGCACAACTAGCACGCTGAACTAGCTAACTGTTAACGCGGAAGTCAAAATAAAGTGAACGTAACGTGAACATGGCGTGTGTCGGGAAAATAGGCGAATTTGACAGTGGAAATGAAGACTGGGAGTCATATATTGAAAGGGTTGAGCTGTACTGTACTGCAAATGGTGTGGAGGAGGATAAGAAAGTCCCCACACTCCTCAGCCTAATGAGTGCTAAAACTTATCATCTGCTACGGAACTTATTAAAGCCCGTCCAGTGCTGTATGCGCTGCGTCCAAAGGTGGATGCTGAACTTCGGAGCTTGGAGGCATCTGGAATCCTGTCAAAGGTTGAATGGAGCGATTGGGCCACGCCCATTGTCCCTGTGGTCAAGAAAGGAAAGGTCTAAGCTGTTCGTATATGCGGGGACTTCAGTGAGCATCAACCCTGTGCTGTGTACTGTGCAGTAGCCCACTACCACAAATAGAAGATGAGTAGTATATATCCTGCACTTTCTGTCAAAAATGATTGATGACCCCCTCCTTGTCAGCCTGATTGAATGACAGGTCGATTTGATTGACAGTGTGTTTTGATTGACATCACGTTATGAGTGACAGGTCGTTTTGATTGAGAGGTTGGTTTGACGGTGGGAGGAGCTGTTTGCTGTCTATC